CAGAACCTGCTTTGATAGCTCTGTAGTACAGACAAATAGATGTGTATAAGAGACAGGTCATTGTTGTTTGTGGCTGAATTTACTGTAACAACTAAAACAATAATAACAATAAGGTTATACTAATTTAATTGTTTGTATCAAGCTCCCGCGTGCATTATCAAATTCACGCGTGTTGTTCTCGCCTAAAAACAGAAACATTAAAAAAAATTAGTTTTTTAAAAATATATGTCTGACTTGAATTGTAACCTCCTTTAATAGACTACATGTTGTGTGTTATCTTGGCAGTCACATTTAAGAGACAGTCATTGTTGTTTGTGACTCAATAATTACAATAAAACAATAACAATAAAGTCCATATTAATTTAATTTTTCTTGCCTAAAAATGTAGAAAATATATATTTTTTTTAAATATGTGTCTCGCTCAAATTCTTACCTCCTTTAATAGACTACAACATGTTTTGTATTGACATACTATAATTCTTCAGTGAAGAGAGCCCTTAACGGACCTTTTAAAACCCAGTTCAACAAAAAAGAAAAACAACCTACGATCCACAAATTAGGTTTTTGGAAAAAGGGGAGCCTTGAGACAATTAATTAAAAATAATGTTACCTAACAATAATAACAATAACAACAGCAACAAGGATCTGTCACACAAAGCATTCAGACCTGACCCAGCAATATTAAATATTAATTTTGATGGCTATAGACTCGAGAAACAATATAGTATGATTATATTTAATATATAAGTTGGCCTCATATATACAGTTGCCAACAGTTGGCATAACGAGAAGGATGAGGCCCCTAACTATAGCTTCTTCAGGCCCTATCACCCAAGGGGATATGTCATGTCAAATGGCTATATACAGTGTACATTCCAGCGATTTGAGGGCATATAAGTAGGCCTACTCTAAATCAATGCCATTTTAAAGATGAACAGAGGATAAACCATGTACACATAATCATTCATAATGAGGTAGTAAAGCTGGAATCTTGTCTGATGTCACTTTTCTAAGGTGCACCAAGGAAAGTTAAGAGAATAATTATACATAATTTGCAGCATCATTTTGTATGAACATAGTCCGATATACCTAGCAGCCATAGACAGGCGCTAATTAGCTTCATGTTCATAACATTTCATATCGACAGGGGCTCAAATGCTATTGCATAACCACCTACTCTTTCAAAAGATGCAATGCGTTCTTTTAAAATACACACAAGCCAGAAACATCAGGTTTTATGTCCTGATCTGAGAAGACTTACGAACCAAAACCCTGGACAAGGAGCATCTTAAACCGATGTTAAGGCTGTAGAAAGCAGTGCCCCTCAACTCTACTTTATCAGTTTACCTGTGGCTATCCATTCACATTGTTCCTGAAGTCTAATGACAAGTGTAGTATTATGTATGTATTTATGTACGTATGTAGAAATATATATATTTCTACATATATATATTTCATTTTATATATATATATATAAAATTGAACTCTGCTCCCAGCCGGTTGAGCCCTCTCATCCTGATGATTTGCACCAACTTCCCTTTGATTTTATATATATATATATATATATATATATCATACCGATGTCTCTAAAAAGGGAAAAAACTAAACCAAGATCTAATCTATCCTAAGCTAACCAAAAAACCAAAAACAACAACACAAGCAGATGAACCAGAATCATCGCACCGTTCTCCTGCAATTTAAATTCTACTGGCAACCAGTGGTTGGCAGGCTCATAATTCACAGGTGCACAAATGAAACTGGCATCTGACTTGCCTAGCCTACAAAACAGAAAAAAGGATAAAGGCAAAGAAAATTCTAAATAACAAGAGTGTGGTACTACTGTATATAGTGTTTTCTGCCATCGGGTATTTAATGCAAGTTTTGGCAGAACCTGCTTTGTTAGCTCTGTAGTACAGACAAATTTTATTTGAGAGAAAACTGTTGTACAGTATGCCCATATACAGTCATGATGTGCCTATATGGTCATAATATGATGTCATCATGGCCATATTAAGGCATGTCACATGTTGTCAAATCAATGTTATAGTCTGGACAAGTCTTTAATTTTGTCCTTTAGATTATTTTTAACACATTTCCATTTTTCCAGCATTAACTAACAAGGTTCCATTGCACAAGTGAATGTTTTTACTAAAAAAAAAATAAATAAATATATCATCAGCGAACATGGCTCACGTATCAGATACCACAGTCTGAGTATGGCTCCAGCATTTTTCCTTAGGGTACTCCAATATTGATTTGATTTACCTTGAATTTTATAAATTCTGCAATGTATATACTTTGGACAAGATAATTAGCTTCTGAACCTTGTTATTAATTTTTTCTAAAACATTATGCTAAAGCTTTTAAAAGAATCTGGAATTTTTGGTTTGAAGCAAGGCACATGTTAATGATTTCATATAGTGTACCACAGTCGTGTCGTTACAACACCAGGTGGCGACCTCTGCCACCAACCAGACGTTGGTTGCCGTTCATTACGCCAGAATCCCTGAATGACTTCATAGGCTTTCTGGAATAGGCATTTTAAAATCTAATAATTCACCATCAAAATGTACTAAAAACACAAAAGCTTGCATTATATTAGTTATCGAACACTCATTAATCATCAATTAAAATTTACAAAGAAAAACTATAATACAACAACATCTTAATGATTATGTTAGAAATTGGGATCAATGGTTTGTCAGTGGAGAAAATGGCATTCGGTTGAACTCATTTTGCAACGATAGCAAAGGAGTAACATCACATGTTATCGTGACGCAACACTGTAGTACTCTATACTTAATGCGTCTAACAAGTCATCGAACTGCCATGCAGTCATCTCTGAGTTTTAAATTATATCCAAGCTTTTTCCAGACTATCAAAATCTATTTGACAAAAACATGTGACATGCCAAAATATGGTGACATCCCATCATGACTATATATGGGCCTTTATAACAGTTTTTTTGTTGATAATATCATAGTGTGTGTAAAGTTATTGCGCTATGAAATTAAATAAAAATTCTAATTTCATAGCTCCATGGTTTTGTTAACTGATCAATACTAATGAGATCGTGTCAGAAAATGTATTCAATTATTTATGTGCCTTTACCTTTCTTTTAATTATAAAGGCAACTGATAAACAAACAAATTGACCTAGTTAGATTCAATGAGGTCTTTATTACCTTACAGACTTTGGTGTTGCTCTAGCGAGTTGAGTAATCCAACAATAAGTCAGGCGCCGCTAACTACTGCTTAACATTGTTGCATGTTATGAGTGCGATAAAGGAAATTTTCCTATTATTATTATTAATTGGTTTTTGAATCAATTTTGTTACAACATTGACATCAGCGGAGCTTGTTTAAAGTTTAGGAGCTTAATGATAAAATTAAACCTGCTACCTGCCGATAACAATGAATTCAAAGTAGAAAAAATATATATTTGGCTTGTTTTTAGCACACCCAACATCGCTAAACAAGGTATAAATAAGTGTTGCCAAAATACCGAGCTACAGTTCCTAACTTAAAAAGCAGAATTTGTGTGTATTTATGTGTATTTATATTAAACAAAACAAGAATTGGCTATTATGTCATTTATTACCTTGACTTATTGATAACACTTTTCAAGCTTTTCTGAAGGCGTTTCACAACTAACTCCTCTTGATCAAACTCAGCGGCTGTTCTCTCGTGTTGACGTTCACTAATGTTTTTCTCAAGCTCTGCTTCTCCAACCTACATTTCAAAATAACAAAATTTAAACAAAAAATTCAGAAAACTTTGGGGCGCCTCTAGTTAACATCAGCCTGATAACTCAAATACTAAACATCACATAGACACTTAAGTCAAAATTCCGACTGTGTTGTACAGGTATGACGCTTTCTGAGTTGGACTTCGCCTTAGTTATAGGAACCGACAACTCGTCCATGTCTAACTGTAACAGAACATAAATCAGATGTCCTTCCTGATAAGGTTGCCAACATTCAGGGTGAGAAAGGGGGGTGTGAAAGTGTTTACATTCTGTTTTGTGATGACATACCAATTTTGTGTTTTAACCTTACAGTTACTCTACCAAGAACTTCAATAATGTCTTTTGACAAGATAAATGATTTGGTTTCTGCTATATAAACTTGTTTGTAGGATATGAACATAGCAGGATAGGCATTTATAAAACCACAGACTTAAAAAAATATCTATAATGTAGCGTATCAAGATTGTTGCAGGCCTCTATTTGCTTTACGTGAACAAAAAGAACGGCGAATCGAGTGGCCCAGCGGTAAAGCAGGGGTGCCGCTAGCTACAGCCTTAACATGGGTGCCGGTTTAAGCCGCTTCTCGCCCAGGGTTCAGTTGGTAGAACCATAAGTCTTCTCGAATAAGGACTTAAAAATGGAGGTCCAGTGTACAAATCTGGCCCGTGTGCAGTGTATAGGGGTTTGACCGATGCTACGTTATGGTTCAATTCAGTCTGTCGTTGTGAAATGATGTGAACATGCAGCTACTAGAAGCGCCTCTTTAAAGCGACTGAGTTAGTCACGGACCACATCCATCTGCAATTCAGTACAACGATGCTGTGATTTATGACTTGTTCCCCTACCTACCTACTTTCATACATACTACAACTACGAAGAAAACTAACAAAGAAAACAAGAAAGGGATTGCTAAAACAGGACAGGAACTCTAGTGAAAATGATAGCTAGCCAATCTAACAATTAGTAAATAAATAAAATAGACGAGAGAAAAATTGCCAAAAAATATTAATAAGAGCAGAAAAATATGTTGTGAAAATGTTTTTTTTTTCTTTTTAAAGGGAGTACAAAGTTCAGTACAGTACCTTCATGGTAGCATGGTTCAACATCTCTTGCCAGTTGGCATCAAACTCCCTGCCCTCGTCGAGTAGACCCATCTCAGCAAGATCTACCATCTCCTTGGCGGCTGCCAGCATGCTGTTGGCTCTCTCAAAACTGACGGCAGCCTGCTGAGTGCTTTGGTGAAGCTAAGTGATTAAAGTAATTAAAAAATGTAATAACATTTCTTTTTTTTGTTGAATCCTTTATCTTTTATTCTCATTTAAAAACATGTGAATTGACACTTGCAGGATGGAAGTAATGCTTAAATCAAGTTCATTCATGAGGCTTTAAAAAAGTGAAGAAATCCCTGTGTCACAAATATGAACTCGGACCTTTTGTTGCAAGCTCCACACTCAATAAAAAAAATTTATAAATAACATTGATTTTAAGAACCATGCTCTGGAGAGAAAAAATATTTTGGTATGTCTTGTATTACTAAGACACAAAAAGGGTGTTTCACGAAAAACTCAGAACGGTTTAATGAGATAAATTTTTGAATATTTAAAAACTGGGGGAAAATACACTTGTCTGACTGATTCAATAAAATATAGAAGTTTTAATTTCTTGTAAAAATATACTACAGTAAGGTTTGGAAAAAGCCTTATACATACTTCCTTGGCTCGTTGACGTGCATCGTAAAACGGCCGGGCTTTTTCTATACATGCACCAAGACGCTTGGCTGTTGCATTGAGACTCTGTGTTGACTCCGTAAGAGCATGTCTAAAGCTTGATCTTGCCTCCTGCAAATAATGACAGAGAAAAACACCCCCAATTATTAAAAGACAGCGGCGTATCTAGATGAGGGGGCGCCTCATATCACTTTATTATGCGAACTGGCGCCCTCTCACTTAACCATCGAAAACCCCTACTTTACCTTCACTCCACAATCAGGGGTCAACCCCCACCCTCCTCCCTCCAACTTTAAGACTCCTAGATATGCCATAGATTAAAGACAAATTCATTCCAGGCATTTCAAATATAAATCAAGGGCATTCTAGAGTTTGGAAATGTGAACTTTTCCTTGACTTAAGGATCATTCACAATTATCAACATTTTCACAAGTGCTCAAACAGTACTCTTTTTTGGTAGCCCCTCGCTCCCCTCTGAAAATTACATAAAAAAATGTTGATTTTGGAAAAACCATTCATTTTTGTGTAATGTTAACAAAAGCACTTACTTGGTTTTCATACTATGTCTATAATATTATCCATGGTTGCATTCTAATTGGTCATAAATACTTAATATTTTGAATATTGTATGATATTTTGAATCAACATTTTTAGGCACATGTAAAAGTGTACCAACTTGTCTACCCACTCCCGCCTAGCGTACTGATTGTTTACACTTGTGAAAATGTTGAAAATTGTGAATGATCCGTTACCAATTTATAGTACAGTGCTATTTCAATGTCAAACAAACACAAGACACTCATGATATCAATTATTTGTTCACACCAACCAATTATACAATAATAATATATACAAAATACATTTATTTTTATTAATGCATATTAACTACTTGTACTATTTTGCTTTTAACTGATTATTATTTGCAATTACCTGTAAGACTTCCTATACATGTAGCTAATTTGTACTTATTTATGTTACATGGTACACTGATATGGAATGTCTATCTAAAAATCTGAATTTAGCAACGAAATCAGAAACAATGTAAAAGCAACCAAATACTTGTTAATTTTTGAGTAAAATTAAAATGTATGTTTGTATACATTCATAATTCACAGCCAATCCTAGGATGAAAAGGTCTGGTTGTTTACATTTGCATGAGCATGAGAATGACAAACTCATTGTACAAAATACAGTATAGCTAAGATTATTATTCTTCATGTAAAAAAAAAATAATACAGTAGATTCACTAATTGATTAACTACAGTATATAATATAATAAAACAACAATGGTTGGATTAAATAGCGCTTTACACCAAAACCTCAAAGTACTCAAAACGTGGACAAGGAACTCAATCAATGACTCTCCCCTTTTCGTGTCTGTACTACCCGGTAACCCAGTACCAGCAACTCTCGTCGTCCACTACAAGGCTGTTTTTTTTTTTGCTTACAAGCTTACTAGTACATAAGTTATTTATAGACAGTAGAAAGGGGAAGCCCCATACAGTAATGCGCCTGATTTATCCAGGGCATGAAAATGCAATGGTAGTGCGCATTCATTTTGAAATTTTAGAGTTCATACTTACATCAAGCTGAAATTCCAAGGTGTTGATCTCATGTGTTGCTGAATTCAAACGTTCCAATTCAACCTAAAATTTGAATAGGAACAACTCTGCATTAAATCACAAGTTATGAATAACTATTTTACCAGGGCACAGTACTATCAGTAGAAAAAATACTAGCAACAAAATTCTTGACCATGGTCTAAATAAACTTGTGTAAACTGCCATTATTGGAAACAGAAGGGCACCACGTACGACTGGATTTGCATAAAAAGATATGACATTTCCGCTTCATTTTTGCCATGCGACAGTTCTTTACCCACTGTTGTGTTTAAATGGAGTGCTTAAATATGCATCATGTCATGTACCTTTACATTGTATACAGTAGTACTTTATATTGTAGAGTTTTACAGAAACTGTGATTAAAAAAATGTTTTTTAAATTAAACTATTGTTTAAGATAATGCAGTCTGAATAGTGTGGCATTCAATTAGCTCTTTTGAAAAGTGATCTTTAAATTTTATATATTGATTCCAATTACATGAATTCAAGAGTTCAATGATTATTCAAGAATTCAATGATATGTTAATTGCAATGCATTTGTGAAAAAAATATAGCAGTTGGTCATTAACTGTACAGCCTCACTTGTGGGTGCTGTTATAGTAGTTTAATGAGAGAGGGGAAACAGAGAGTGATACTCATAAATTAAAAGTGATTTTCAATGACTAATAGCAACAGTAGATTTTCATTGTCAGTCAACGCATTTAATTATGGAAAGTACAATACAATCACATATGAAAAGAGAGGGCTCATTTTCAACTGGCTTGAAAAGATGAATATATTTAATGATGAGCCAATCAACAAAAAAAATCTAAGTAGTAAGCAAAAAAGTATTAAAGTGCCTTACAAGGTGTTTACAGTGTTTAATATCAACATAATCTTCTTGAATAAAATAAAGTTAAATGTTCAATCCAATCCACTGCAGCACAGGCTTTTTTTGTTAAAATCTCTTTAAATCCTAAACCCTGTATCTATTTTAAAACTCCCCAGAAAACCAACCCTGTTTACAGGTAATTTCCTTCATGCGTTAAATGAATGCATTGATTTCCAAGCTACAGTGCTGTACAACATTGTATGTCTGAAGTTCGCCAACCAAAAAAAATGTACCAGCGTCCAACAAAGATGGCAGTGTCATGCAATTCCGGCCTTTTTCACAATGATTGTAACTCAAAAACTACACTTTAGGTAAAATTTTTTGTATCATTTTAATGCTCTAATCAATGGCTACTATTCCAACACTCAAAGTTTCAGTTACTGCTTCCGGTATTCTTAAAACAAACTTTAGTCGTAGTTCAAGCTAAAACTTCAAAAGCATATGTGCTTCTACTGTTGTAGTTATCATTTATTGAATTAGGTGCAATAGAATTATATGGACATTTTTGTAAATTTTGTTCCAACTAAACCCACTCTGCCCACAGTACAAGGTGGCGGTGGTAGATGTGTGTTGAGCATTGGAAAAACAGCAACAAATTATTAGCCTTTGTATATTGTCAATATCTTAGTCAAATTTGTACTGTATGTACTGTGGAGGTACATTTGGTGTCATTAAGATACAATAATTTAATATGCTCTATTTTGTGTTTAAAACCGATTAAATGTAAAAAATAGAAGGTAAGTGAAGGATGGATATCTCCACGAGTAATTGATCAAATTGTGCAAGACTACATTCTTTTGAGCACTCTCATAATTCTTATGCATGTAGATACCTAGGCAGGGCTACAGCCCTCCCGTTGGGGAGGCTTTGCACCCCCCACCGCATTGGGGAAGCTTTGCACCCCCACCCCGTTGGAAAGAAAAACCACAATTCGTTGGAGTAAAAAAAAAATCAAAAAAATTATATGTATTTTGTGCATATTAATTGACCCTAAAATTGATTAAATATTGCCTTTGAAACCCCTAAATTGTCATATTTTTGGGGGCTTACGTCCCCTCGACTACTTTCTAAAGTTTTTTGCGACGGTCGATGCCCACTTTTTTTTAGTCCTAAAAATCCATCTGTGCAGATTTTGCCAAAGGCTTTAACCTAATCTCAATTAATACCTAAACAATTGCATTATACTATGATGTAGTACAGTACTAGTTAGTTAATTCTGCGCACATATTTTCCTAGCGATTTTCCATGCAAATTTGACCTAATCGTTGAGGTGTCATCTGCACAATTAAAAAACTTTACACACAGAC